TTATATATATAATCACGATCACGATGAACAAGATGCATATGATAAAACTTCCGGTGAAATTCCAATTTCAATTGCTTATAGTCCCATGATCCCATATCATCACATAGCCTATACCATGTCAATGCATCTCCCTTCAAAGATAAAGGGAAGACCTTCTTCTTGATAACATGATCGGGCATACCTGCAAGCTTAAATAATCCACAAACTTCATCCACATAGATTAAGTGTAAGCCGGGATGCAATGTTCCATCTCCTGCAAAAGGATTAGCTAGCAGTTTCTCTATCATACCCGAAGGAATTTCAAAGTAAACATTTTCAGTAGGTTCAATAGGTTGAGGGGTAACTAATTGTGGTTCCGGACGAGGTGAAGATACCCCGAACAAACCCCTCAAAGGATTACTTTCCATAGTAACAAGTGACAGTAAATTTTAGCACACTATATAAATTTTTCCTTACCAAATTCCACCTACCAAAGGCGCTTCACTTCCCGGCAACGGCGCCAGAAAAGAATCTTGATGACCCTCAAGTGTAGGGGATCTATCGTAGCCTTTTCGATAAGTAAGAGTGTCGAACCCAACGAGGAGCAGAAGGAAATCATAAGCAGTTTTCAGTAAGGTATTATCTGCAAGCACTGAAATTATCGGTAACAGATAGTTTTGTGATAAGGTAATTTATAACGAATAGAAAGTAATAAAAGTAAATAAGGAGCAGCAAGATGGCCCAATCCTTTTTGTATCAAAGGACAAGCCCGAACAAACTCTTATATGAAGAAAAGCGCTCCCGAGGACACATGAGAATTATCTTCAAGCTAGTTTTCATCACGATCATATGATTCACGTTCGGTACTTTGATAATTTGATATGTGGGTGGACCGATGCTTGGGTGCTGTCCTTACTTGGACAAGCATCCCACTTATGATTAACCCCCATTGCAAGCATCCGCAACTACAACAGAAGTATTAAGGTAAACCTAACCATAACATGAAACATATGGATCCAAATCAGCCCCTTACGAAGCAACGCATAAACTAGGGTTTAAGCTTTTGTCACTCTAGCAACCCATTATCTACTTATTACTTCCCAATGCCTCCCACTAGGCCCAAACAATGGTGATGTGTCATGTAGTCGACGTTCACATGACACCACTAGAGGGATGACAACATACATCTCATCAAATTATCGAACGAGTACCAAATTCACATGACTACTAATAGCAAGACTTCTCCCATGTCCTCAGGAACAAACGTAACTACTCACAAAGCATATTCATGTTCATAATCAGAGGGGTATTAATATGCATAATGGATCTGAACATATGATCTTCCACCAAGTAAACCAACTAGCATCAACTACAAGGAGTAATCAACACTACTAGCAACCCACAGGTACCAATCTGAGGTTTGGATACAAAGATTGGATACAAGAGATAAACTAGGGTTTGAGATGAGATGGTGCTGGTGAAGATGTTGATGGAGATTGACCCCCTCCCGATGAGAGGATCGTTGGTGATGACGATGGTGATGATTTCCCCCTCCCGGAGGGAAGTGTCCCTGGCAGAACAGCTCTGCCGGAACCCTAGATTGGTTCCGCCTCGTGGCGGCGGAGTCTCGTCCCGAAAGCTTACTTATGATTTTTTTCCTCGACGAAAGACTCCGTATAGCAGAAGATGGGCATCGGAGGGCCACCAGGGGGCCCACTAGGCAGGGGGCGCGCCCAGGGGGGTAGGGCGCGCCCCCACCCTCGTGGCTGGTGGGTGGCCCCCCTCTGGTACTTCTTTCGTTCAGTATTTTTTATATATTCTGAAAGTAACTTCCGTGAAGTTTCAGGACTTTTGGAGCTGTGCAGAATAGGTCTCTAATATTTGCTCCTTTTCCAGCCCAGAATTCCAGCTGCCGGCATTCTCCCTCTTTATGTAAACCTTGTAAAATAAGAGAGAATAGGCATAAGTATTGTGACATAATGTGTAATAACATCCCATAATGCAATAAATATCGATATAAAAGCATGATGCAAAATGGACGTATCAGCGGACGGGGCTGGTTGCCCGTGGATGGCGGCGATTTCTGCTTGGCCCCACGGGCACCCCCGCGGTGAGCAACGTTCACAGACGGGACCTCCGTGTAGACTCCGACAGAGCGGCGAGTAGCGAGCCGCTATTCCGTGTTGAGGAGGCACGCGTAGAGGTCACGAGGCGGCATCGGCGTGTCACGTCCATTGACGTTTTCAACAAGAGTCATAGTCCTCATCAAGCCCATTGAGAATGAACGAAGTAAACTCCTCATCACGAAGAGGCTGCCCAATGGAGGACATTGTATCAGCCAAAATTTTGACCTTGTTGAAGAAGGCCGTGACGGAGAGGTCATTCTTCTTGACCTCACCCAGCTGATTACGAATGGCAGAAGAACATGCCAGCTACTGCGAGGAGAAGCTGGAGTCGAGTATGGTCCATGCATCCCTCGACGCCGCGGCAAAGACTACCATGCCGGCCACAGACGGAGTGAGCGAAGACTGAATAGCCCCCAGGATGGCTTGATTCTGAGCGATCCACCGACGATGAGCAGGGTTGGGTACCATGACGGAGCCACCATGGGACGAGGGTACTGGAACCATGGCCGGAGGGCCCGGCAACGAGCCATCAACATATCGCTCAAGGTAGTGGCTACGCATCAGCTGCAACACTTGAGCGTGCCACAGGAGGTAGTTATCAGCAGAGAGCTTCACCGTCACCAGATGAGCGAAGTGGAACGGTCCTGGATCGGCCACCGGCGCGGAGAGCTGCAGTTCAGGCGTCGGGACGACACTGTACGGAACAAGTGCATCGGCCGACGGAGGCACACGGGAGTGTTGGTGATGACTGTAGGGCTGGTGATGACCGTAGAGCACCGGAGGGGCACACCGTAAGGGAGTGCGGGAGGCGCGGCGTACGACACAGGGGCGGCGGCATAGGGCGCACCATACGACACGTACGACGCCGTTGATGGCGCGACGTACGGTGCGGGGTACGGGCCACCGTAGGGCGCCTGTACGGGAGCGCCATAGGGCCCCGAGACCAGCGGCGCGTCGGGGGACTGGGCCGGGGCAGGATGACCACCGTAGGACGCCTGCACGGAGGCGCCGTAGGAGGCCGGCGGTGGAGGCGCGTAACACGACGTGATCGGGGGGCCGGCCGCGATTGGGTGCATCGCGGGCGATCGAGGCAGCGCGGGAGGCTGTGACCACGACACAACAGATCGGGCCCAGGCGAGCGGAGGCGACGCTAGGAACGGCATTCCGTCGCCAGGGTGGAGAGAGGCGGCGCGGCGGAGACCGACGCGGCGGCAGCAGAGGAGGCGGAAGCGCTGCGCGGATCGAACGCGTCGTCTGATACCATGTTAGACATACTAGGGTTTGGAACAATGCTCAATACCCTTGGTGGGTACGGCTGTCATATATTTATAAGAGGGAACCGTACAAATACAGATTATGTTACAACACGTATATCTACTATATACTTAGTCTAACAGAACTAAGGGGCGGCATGCAAAAGCAACGATTATATGCAGGGGCGAGTACCAAAATGACCCATGGTGGAGCGCCCTCTAGGGACGAACAAAAGATGGTTATGTCTCGAGTCATTAGAGATCATGGAGACCGGGCAACAAGGAGGACACGATGCTAATGATTTCCTCCTTAGCTACTCCGTAGATCAACGCAATGGCCACTAGGGCAGAGTGAGATGCGGGGCCGGGTTCGTCCATGTTGATGATACCATCCTTATCACTGATCTTGGCATCTACGAGAGCATCAGCGAGATCCTTGGATGCAGAGGAGAGATCAAGCTTTTTTGCCTTGGCAATAACCGCATGCGCAGTCACGGATGAGTAGAAAGCCTGCTCATTTTGGAGGAGCGGCTGTTCCGATGAAGCACACACTCGTGGGTTGTTTGGATTGAGCCATTGCTCGCCCTGCCAAACGTTGGCTCGCCAATTAATTGGCGAAGGAATCCGCCACCCACGCCTTGCCAAAACTTTGGCTCAGATTTGAACTGGGGCTGCTGTGTAGGCGTGGGCGCGCCAATAATTTGGCATCCATCCAAAGGAGTGCCCAGGCTGGGTCAACGACCAATTTTTTGGCTTGGCGCATGAGGGCGTCGATCCAAACAGCCTCGTCAGCATGGGTGCCAGTGTATCAATGAAGACGGGAAGAGATGGTGGCTCATTGTCAATAGCAGGAGGTGGAGCCGCGATGAACGTGACAAGCATGTCGTGAGCCACAGGAGTAGGGAGTGCGAGGAGCGACAGTACTACCGAGCAACAGTGACACTAGATGAGAGGCTATGACAACATCGATGACCTCCACCGAGAGGGAACGAGTAGAGAGACAAGTGCACCATTGGCCATGACCGTGATCAGGGGAGAGCCGCCGAGAACGACGCAATCGGAGGAGTGTTTCATCGGGAGGGTGGAGGCCCGGGAGGGAGCTTGGGGACAACATCAAATGCGAACTTGCAAGCGATGGGCGCCGCGAGGGAGCGTGGTGCCGTGCGCCACCATGACGAGCTCTCGCATGCTAGTGTTGTCGCCCTCAAAGCAATATTGGTTAGCTGAGCAGAAATCTCCCAAGTGGGAGAAGAAGCAGTGGGCACCCTTCGGATGCCAGAGCTCGTCGAGGGTTTTTCAAGAAC